TCTCACATTAATTAACTCTGACACTGACTTTTCTGCCCCTCTCTTTCATATTTAGTGGCCCTTATGGTCACATTGGGCCCGTCAGAATAATCCAAGATGGTCTCCCTATCTTAAGTTCAACTTGCTTGATAACCTGATTCCTTCTACAACCTAAATTATTTTTGCCATGAAGCATAACATATACATAGATTCTGGAGTTTAAGACAAGGACATCCTCAGGAAGCCATTATTCTGTCTGCCACGGCTGTGCTGGCTGTGACAACTGACACCACTTCACAGAGTGTCCAAGGCACCACAGGGAATGGCACAGTGTTTTCTCTTCATGCAGTTGGGAGTAGCACGGACAATAGCAGGTGCTGGAGGTCCAAGAGAGGTTGTACTGTCAAACTCTGGAAAATACAGCAGGAGATGTAGACAATGAAACAGTGACTAGGGATGAAAAACCAGGTGCAATGGAGGCTGAGGTGCATTTCAGTGGCTGCCATCATGGGAAGTTTGCAGCCCAGGACCAGACAGCCTTTTTTCTCCTGTCCTCAGGGACTTTGTGATCCATGGGGCCCTGGTTCCCCTACCTTCCCCCTGTGAATTTAGATGCAACCTCAGGGGAAAAGAGAAATGGGAAACCTCAAATCCCCTGAGTTCCTCTGGAATTAACCGTGACTCATTTCCCAATGTCAACAGATTAGAGGCTCTGCGTAGAGATTCTGCACAGTCACAGGGGGGTAAAAAGCACATTTCCCATTTGAGTTTGTTGTCTGAGATTTCACACCCATTTGACTCTCCACACTTTTTTTTCCTAGTGAGCACTTTGCTTTCTTTGTTAAACCCACTGGGTGTGTGGGATCTCACCTGTACTTGTACTTCTCGCATTCAAACCTTGACCACACAGGTGAAGGTGATGAACCAGGTCAGAGCCCTGTTTCCCCCGGAGCCACGTCTCATTCCCACTTTCATCTCAGAATGGATTACCTTACCAAGGAAGAGAACTTTCCTTCAACATGTATTTCTACTTCTATTCCACTTGCGTTATCTTCATGTGAAGTCAAGACCCTCACCCCAGAACCACTGCCTTTCTCAGGGCTCGTGTAAAAGAACTTCTTCAGAGGGCCCTATTTTACCAACCACATGGACGTTTGCCTTAAGAAATGTTCATGGAAAAGGCAATAATGACTTCTTTCAGACACTTTATACAGTCTCTCTAATTCCCACACCAACTTTTAAAAATAGAAATTATTATCCTGGATTGATGTATGAGAAAATTGAGATCTAGAAAGACACCTTACTTTCCCAAGACACCTTAACTTACACCCTCCCATCCCCCACCCTGCCCACACTCGCCCACACCCTGGCCTCGGCTGCCAAAGCAGAGCCTGACACCCTACACAAAGGCTCCTAAGCAGGTAGTTTATCTGGGAAGACAGCCAAGGAGCAGGAAGAGAGCCAAGGAGCAGGACTTAGGGAAATAAGAAAGAAAGAAAAATACATTATAAAGGATTCATTATAAATTTGGCCCCTTCTGAAGGTGACAGAGCTTGACACTGCTGTTCCCTTCCAGGAGCCTTGTGCAGTGTGTCACAGAACCGTGCGTCTAGGTTAGCAAGGGGAGAGGAGTGTATCTTTGGTCCTCTACCCTTCCTCATCAAGGTGGCCTCACAGGCGCTAATTTGGTGGCTCTTCTAGTTTTGCCCGTCCAACGCAGACTGTGTTCCCACAGGTACCCCACATGTAAGCCCTGGGGAAGGAAGCTGGAGATCAGAGTGGAGTGTGGCAAGGCACTGGCCACTCTCACCTGTGCAAAGCTGACGGAAGCCTGTGCAGAAGTGGCCAAGACAGCAGTGACTGTGCGAGAAAAGGGGCTGCAAGGAAATGAAATGAAACCCAGAGGTGGCCAATACCCAAAATCATAGGGCTATTCGATATTTAAAATCGAGCCTGAATAACTAACTGCAAGGCCTGGGCACCTTCCATAACTGAGATGCATTCCCAAGAAGACATTTGGCTTTGTGGAACTTAAGCACCAGTTTATTACCCTTGGCAATTAGATGAGGATCTAGTATTGATTTTACACTATATTAGAAGTGGACCATTATACACTCACTTTTTGTGTATCTGAGGGCATGAGTTTTTCCCTCATTAATCTCCAAAATGGGTTTGAAAATAAATACGTTAAATATAGGTCTCCAGAACAGCGCTATCGAGCAGGAAAATAATGAGTTACAAGTGCAATTTCAAATTTCTTGGTAAAAAATGAAAATTGATATTTCATTGATATTTTATTTCATAAAAATGAAATCTGATATTTCATTGCAAAAATGAAATAACAAACCAGTGAAATTAATTGTCATCATCTATTTTATTTAACCCACTGTTTTTCAAGTATTATCATTTCAACATACAATCAAAAAAATGATTATTGAAATGTTTGGCTTTTGCTTTGGTCATACTAAGTCTTCAAAATCTGGTGTGCATTTCACACTTATAAGTACGTGTCAGTCCAGACTAGTGTTCAATAGCCACGTGTGGCCAGCATTACCATGTTTGACAGCACAGCTCTAGCCTTGACAGAAACAGTTGATCAGTGAGAGGCAACACCATCGTACTTTCCTTTGGTTGGGATGGAGTAGAGAGGATTTCTCCACACTCTCCTGACACTATGAGACTTTGGTCCCCCTTATTTCCCTCTGAAATAAAATGTCAGATTGACAAGGTTCATGGTAAGAAGTGATTAGAACAGTAATTCAAAGACAAAACCAAGCCATACATGAATCTAATATTTCAAGGTTTATTTCTCCCTGTCCACTTGTCTTTAAACTGCAGGATAAGTCATTTTTAACTTACAAAAAAAGTCTGATACATTCAAGCACACACAAGCCCTAATGAACAATATAAGTGATTCTAAAAATAAGTGACAAACAAGGTAAACTGTGCACCCTGAATTATAATATTTACATTTCTTTTTCTTTAGTCCCATAAAAACTACATGTTTATTTTCATGGGTTTATATTTCACATAAAGCAATATGTCATTTATATAAAGTCTAATACAACATTTGGCAGGTACAGGTACTGCAATACTATAATATAGTAATTAAAAGCACAAGATATAAAGGTGCATCTGGGTGCAAATTGAGCTTCGCCACTTACTGTGTGAAAGTTTGAGCCAATCATTTGGCCCTTTTTAGCCTTGTTTCATCTTCTCCAAAATGGAGATAACAGTAACTACCTTAAAATGGTGCAGTAAAAATTAACTAAGTTAGGGTATGTTAGCAACAGTGCCTGGTACATGGTCAATGCTCGATAAATGGCAGCTTTTACTAGACGTGAAGAAAAATCTAACCATACGGCAGGCTGCATAATGTTCGCCTTGCCTCTGACACTTCTCACAGTCTATCTGTCAGTTAAGAAACATTTGTAAACCCTGCACGGAACCACCAACTACTGTGCGTGCTGCTAAACTTTATGGTGTTCGGAAATTTACCAATAAAAGGAGCATTTTCCATTCCATGGTGGGCAAATTGTTCATAAAAATCCACAGGCTTAAAGCAGCCTGACTGGGAAGTTTGGCAGGGGAGGGTTCCTGTTCTTTTGTCTCTTAATCCACACTGTGGCCTGATTGCCATAACAGTTGAAATTAGCACTTTAATTTCTACATTATCTCCTTTATATTATAGATGCATAATATGCTGGAATAATACGCTAGAATTCTTTGAGAGAATTACCAGAGATAAAGTATTATGCTTCCTCCCGAACAGTCTTTTATATCTGTACTGAATTATCCATGGCCACGGAGAATTTTTCTCCAGCCATTCGGTTGAGAGCCAGATCCGAAGCTACCCCCCTGGGGGACAGGAGTCTCCTGAGATAAGCCTCCTGCATTACTTGCCTCACATCTTCTTTTCACTACCTGCTCCAGTGGCTTAAGTACACTTGCTTTTGAATAAAATGTTATAGATTGCACGTTCTAATAATAATAATAGCTAAAATTTATTCAAATGCTGCCTGTTAGCCAAGTATTGTGCTAAGCATATCACATGCATTCCTCATTTATCAATTCTATGAGAGAACTGATAGATTCAGGAACCAAACTATAGAAGTCAACAGCTTTCCCCAAATCATACAGTTGGTAAGTAGTGGAACCAGAATTCCAAGAGAGACATTGGTGTCAGTGCCTAAGCCCAAAACACTGCACAAAACACACAGGAGACCCAATATGTGTACAATCCACTAACAAGTTCTGCTGCCTTTACCTCCAAAACATGTTCTTTGTCCATTCACTTTTCTGCATCTTCACCAACACCACCGTAGTCTAAGCCACTACCATTTTTGTCTGGAGAACTGTGAGTTTTCAACAAGTCCTTGCTTCTATTCTTGTCTCCCTACAAGCTCTCTTCCTTACAGAAGCCACACATGAACATTTTTGAATAGAAATTAGACTTAGCTGCAATGCACAAAGCCCTCTCCTGCCTGCTGCATCCCTCTTAGAATAAGCCCCATGTCCTTACTGTAGCCTTTTAACACGCATGTAGTCTGGGCTCTGTCAACGCCCTCCCCTCATCTCCTCCTATGCTCCTTCTCACTCATCACATTGTCCTTCTTTTTCTTCTCAAGCCTCATGGCCATGGCCTCTGTTCATGGGGGAAGAACTACACTCTTCCTATAAGAAGAGGCCTCCAATATTTAGAAAAATAAAACAGCTACCACAGGCCCTCTGTCCTTTTAAATTTTCGGAATGAGGGCATATAATATTCATTAAAAGAAAAATATCTGAGATGTTGATTTTTAAGTAACTTTACTCCTCGTTAACTTGAAATTCATTTAGCTGGAGTAATAGAAAAGTTGACTTTCGATGGCTTAAACATAAAGGCTATTCTCTCACATAATAAGAAATATGAGGTCAAGTGGCTTCAAGCATTAGCTTAGCATATCCGTTATGTTGGAGTCAACTTCCCATCAATTCTCCTGACTCCTCTCTTGTATTTACATTACAGTCCATTGGCAGAGATGACTGCTGCTGCTGCCACCCTCGCACCTTCCATGAAGGAAAGAGAAAAGGGAGGTAAGAAAAGCAGAGCAGTCTCTTCATCAGAAAAGCAAAGATTTCTGCAGAACTGTCTCTGCCTCCACTTTCACTTACATCCTACTCACTGCAAATGAGTCACATGTCACTTCCAGATGAGATTTGGGACAGCAGGGACCAGGATTGTGAGTACCTTAGAGCAATCATGATCTTTCCTGGAGTGTAGCATCTGACTGCCTTAAAAAAAGTCTGTGTCATGTTAAGGACTGGTCATTGGCTATGTGTCTACTACAGAAGCCAAGAGAGGGTACAGTTCATCTTGAGAAGTGATACAGGTGGACATTTTAGCTGGATCTGAAAAGCTGAAGTAGATGAGGGGTATTCCATAGAAAGAGTGTAACATGAGCCTCTGCAGAAAGGTAGTTTGGAAATGCCAACTGTTTAGTCTGATATAACTGGAGTATACAGTGTGAAGTTGTCAATAAAAAGTAGAAGCTGGGGAGATAGGAGAGTGTCAGATGATGGATGATAATGTTAGCATTTACTGGATGATTACTAGAGATCAGGTACTTATACTCCCATCATTGCACTTAATTTTCACACTCCACGAGTGCCACTCTTTCCTCCTGTTTTACATATGAGGTTAAGTAGCCTGCTCAAGGGCACATAGCTAACAAGCAGTGGAGCTGGGTTGGAACCTGGTCTGCACTGTAGTGATTAAGGGCATGTGCTCTGGAGTCAGACTGCCTGGAGCCTGCAGCCCCGCCCTGCCTCACCTCATTTACACCCTTATCCCTACCCCTCTCCCTCCTACAGTGACCCCCAAGGAAATATTTTGCAACCACAAACACACAAATTACACTTCTGTGTAATTTGAGCACAAATTAAAAGCCAGTGTGGTAGAGATCTCCTGTGTGTGGAGTAGGAAATAAACTAGGAAGCGCCTAGAAATGGGAAGGTTCATACAGAGACTGAATCATCCAGGAAGACGCTTTGTCTGCACCTCTCAAATCAGAGCAAAAGGGAGACTGTACGTTGAAAATGCTTGCTCCTCCGTCACCCTCCCCCCAACCCCTGCCTGCTACCTCCTCCCCTGCTCCAGCCAATTTACATTATCTGACATAAACCAGAAAACATATGAGCCAATGGCTGGGCTATAACTCATCTACTATCAGAGAGGAGATGAGCTTAACAATAAGGCTTCCCAGAAACATCTTTCAAGCACCAGTTTAGCTGCTTAAAAAGTACTGCCTGAATCACTAATAAATACTGGTATTTCATACACTGCATCTTTACTAGCTTTAACCATGATGTACTTGAGGCTTCCTTAATTCGCAGACCCTGCAGTCACAGGGTCCTCCACTTGTCTTAGAGTATGATAGTTTCCTTTGCTTTCTACTTCTCTGTACCCAGATCCATAAGATTCCTTTATAAAGATCTAAATTCTTCCCCCACCACATCTTTTCAAAAACAAATATATAGACAACAATGTTATCAAGTAATAAATGCATGCATATTCTAATTGTCACTTCTAAAACATAAACAATTGCAGTGTTCTACCTTATTTTAGGGTGGTATAGGCCAATGTTTTCTTAATTGGACACTATTATGTTGGCATCCTTGGCCATCAATAGCATTCCCCAAACCACTGTGACAGTCAAAAAAAATCCCACATTTATTTAAACCATACCCTCTGGAAACATTTTTCCTTCGCTCTCTAGACTCTTGAGAAATACTAGTTGAAATGTGGTGACAGAATTTTGGTTCTCTCTAGCTATTCGTAGGAAAGAAATTGATTTCCATATCTGTAAAATGGGTATATTAGTACCTACCTTATGTTGTAGATCAAGTAAGACATGTAAAGCACATAGTTGATACACAGTCAAGCACATATCCCGGTGAATATGCTAGGTTGAACCAAGAACAACATCTAAACTATTTTTCCTCCTTCCCTAGCAAATACATAGATAGGTAAATAGAGTTTAAATTCACTGTTCCACTCTGAATCACCACATTCTGGCTCTTGTTCATTTAAGAAACTAGATAACTTGGAGTAATAGATTCAAAAATTAAATATAGTTATACGTTTGGGGTAAAATAAGATACTATAGAATAATAATGAAAAAGAAAAAAAGTCTATTCTGGAAAAGGTAAGAATTACAGATCAGGAGTATCATAGGATTATAGAAAGTCTTATTTCTTTGGTTTATGAATTTATAAACTAGAAAATGATCTTTTAGTATTTCTTAAGAGAGCATTCCTTCCAAGAGGGGAAAGTTAAACTAGATAATTTAAAAGGTGCATCTAATTTCTAAAGAGCTATTAAAACTTCTGCGATTGAATCAACTCAATCTCAGCATTAAAGGTGTGAATGGCTTTAGATTTGCTAGCCTATAACATTCCTTTACATACTGTGATGATGGTGCTTAATAGCCTAAAGGTGAATCACTACTTCTGGTAACTGGAAGCAAAACAGGACTTCTATCCACTGAGTTGTATCTACATACTCAGACAGGTAAACATATTAGTCACAGAAATTTAACTAAGCAAACGTTATGTGGGAACAATTACAAAAGCTCAGCTCCTTTACAAAAGCAACAAAAATCTTAAAAAAGGACCTTTTTAACATTGTATTGAATGTGTTAATTTTGTTTTGGATTTCAGTTTTGTACAAAACTATTCCAGCAACAGAATACTTTCTTAATAGAGAAATTCCTTCTTTGGGTATTTCCTGTTATCCCTCAAGAAGGAGCATCAGCCCCCAGGTGCATGGTGACCATTACCTGAGAAAGAAATCAACTCTGCCCAGTTTGTTTATGATTTTAAAGATGCACTTGCAGCTAACTAAAATTAGAAAACTTTCTTAACATGACAAAAGAATATCTAACAAAGCCTATAGCACATTTTCTACATAATAGTAAAAATTGAAAAGCATTCTCATTAATGTCAAAAATGACCTAAGGATAACCACTAGCTTTACTATGATTCAGCAGACTCTGGGACTACAGTAAGTCAAGAAAAAGAGATATAATATATGAGTAAAAGTACACAAAATAGTCATTATTTGAAACACTATCAATTTGTTTACATAGAAAGTTGAATAAAAATTATGATTATTAAAATGTGCGAGAATGCAGCAAGCTTTCTGAAGACAAAAATCCGTAGCATCCCAGCAACCAATCATTAAAGTAGTTTCAGACAATTAGATTTCCATATTGAAGAAAATTAAATTAAATCTGTAAATTACCCATGCCAAAAAAATTCATTCCAGATTAATCAGAGACACAAAAGAAAAAATACAAATTTTCTATTAGAAGAAAATATACAAAAATAACTAACTTTGTTAACTCAAGGTAAGGAATGACACCAAAAAACTCAATGCACAAGGGAAAAGTTTAGTTGGTAAACTTCTGTCTATTGTTTCTGTCATTTAATGTCTGCCAGCAGGTATCAAAAACAAAAGGAGAGGATACTGCAGACAGGGAGAAGAGACAATGCACAAGACTAACCAAGAATTAATATCAGAATATACAAATCACTTCCAAGGAATATGGAAAAGAGAAACAACTCGATGAAAAAAATCCAAATATGAACAAACCACTCACAGAAGATATAAAATAGCAAATAAGCTTATAAAAAGATACTTGATATAGAAAATAGGGAAAATAGTATAACCCACCATTCGAATTTTTAAAATGCTAACATGTTGCATAATAGCTTTATATATTTTTTAAATATGAAAGAACTAAGCTATCACTGATAAACCTAAAATCACTTTTGTTTCCTCTGTAGTACTACCTGGTTCTCAGATTCACCTTGGAAGAGTAACAATCATGCATTGTATACATGCACTCCAGCCCTTGTTTTTACACGTATATTTAGGTACAAATATTGTTGTGTTGTGTTTAGAATGTACTAAACACAATATAGCAATTTGTTTTTTCAAAAAGTAAAAATAAAAGTAGTCAAAGCCCCTATACTCAATTCCTAGTGGGCCTGACTTCAAAATCCACATCTCTCCCATTATGAGTGATCATGGGCAACTTCTAAAACCATGAAGATCTCCATCTGGATCTCAGACCCAGACTGCTGTCCTGGGTGACAGAGCTCTAGGACCCTCCCCTCCCCCGGCTGTGATGGACAGAGTATGTGCAGAGCAGAGCCATGGATGAATGGAGGCCTCTCAGAGTCAGATGAGCAACCCTTGTGGAAACCCTTCAGAAAAGCCCTAGCTTCAAGACCTGGAAAGACTAACAATAAACCTGCAACTCATCTGAGTCAGAACATACATGTGGGGAGCAGAACTAAAAGTCCAACACTTGGTTCAAAAGTCCAAGAGTGGCCCTGGCTGGTGTGGCTCAGTGGATTGAGCACTGGCCTGCAAACCAAAGAGTCACCAATTCAGTGAGCGCTGGCCTGCAAACCAAAGGGTCACCGGTTCAATTCTCAATCAGGACACATGCCCGGGTTATGGGCCAAGTCCCCAGTGGGGGCCATGTGAGAGGCAACCAAACATTGATGTTTCTCTCCCTCTCTTTCTCCCTTTATTCTTCTCTGTCTAAAATAAATAAATAAAATCTTAAAATTAAAAAAAAGAGTTCAAGAGTGGCGGCATTGATGATGGAAGGAGGGGAAGAGGTGAAGCCTTCAGCAAAGGAGATCTCTGGCCTTGCTTAGAACTATCTCAGGGCCTCAGGTCTGCAGGGTCCTCTTCAGCCTTTGGCTTAAAAGAATCATTTAATAAGACTCACTCCCCACCCCAACAGAGGAGAGTGATGGACAGAAAGCAATCCTACCCATTTTTGCCCTTTCCAAGAAAAAGCCACTATCCCATTGGTAGGAGCACAAGACGTTAACTTTTTGATGGAAAAAAGGATCCTAGAAAACCGGACCTCACTGTGGTCCTGCCAGATGGAAGCTTGACTGAGGAAGAGAGACGAGCAGGTGAAATTGGCTTACAGAGAGGTCAAAAAAGTCGATATGAAAGATGAGGCAAAAGTCCTAGGAGCACAGTAAAACTCTTCAGCTTTCATAACCCA